CTTCCATATATATATATATATATATATATATATATATCTATATATAGGAGGGAGAGAGTTTCATTCTTGAATTTTGATTTACTGATCTTTCTGTAAAAGGCATACATGCTTGTTTTGGCTTTGCTTAGTAGACTCTTTTTTTTTTGCTTATATCCTAGTCATTCGATGGGTATATTATGGATTCTTTCTTTCTTTTGTTCTGTTTGGTTTTGATAGTTGGCAAAATAGCTTTTGTTTCATGTCTTTATTTCATTTTGGGAAAATAAAGCAATTATACTTTTTACAGTAGTTAAATAAAAGTTTATCAATAACTAAATACTTTTAAAAAATTATCTATGAAAACAATCTTTATTTATTCTTAGTCTTTTATTTTTATTTTTTAATATGTTGTTAGCCCTCTAATTATGTGTCTCTCACACGAGGTAGACTTTTTGATCTTCTCCCAATCTTCTTGCGGGTGATTTATTTTGGTTTAAAACATCATGTTACTGATCCAGAAAATAATCCATTGGGTTTCAGCATGATGTTTCTTCTTTCCATAATTCCTTGGATTGTAGCACGAACTTGAAATCACTTTATCTTCCTTTTGATAAAGAAATGGGAATACCATTTGATGTAGGGGAGGAAAGTTTGGCGCCTTGGGCAATGGGTCTCCTACAGTTTGCACCTGCTTCTGGGCCAGCCTATGGTACAGCAACAGATTTGCACCACTCTCTTATACTCGCAAAGGCTCGGACAAAGAGGCCTGACATGCTCCACAGGTTTAGACGTTATCAAGGTGGATGGGACATTACCAACAAGCATTATTGGGCCGTGAGTATACAATCTCCAACCTAAGGACTAAATTATTACTGAACTAATTTTCTTGAGGAACTTATGGTTTTTAAATTCTCAATCATTTCTTTCCTTTTGCTGCTATCTGGAGATTAAGAGGGAATGGTTCACTCTTGTTTTGTACTTAAAACTTGATGTTATGTTGTTATTTACAATCCTGAATGATACTTCTATAGGATTAGTTTATATATAATTTATTGCATAACTGCATCAAGTTGTGATACAACATAACAATAAAGGTATCTATAAAAAAATTAAGGTGCTCCCAAGCAATGGCTAAAACATTGGGCTTGGTTTGGGAGTTGGGGCTCAACATGGTTCTGAGCTGAGTCAATTTGTTGAGTCTTGGCAGAGTGAGTCTGAAATGTGTGACTTTTAGCCTCTTAAGGCTCATCCAAGACTCGGGATTGAGGCAAGTTGAAATGGGATTACCTCTAGTCTACTTGCTAACATATTCAGCAATGCTCCCAAGGATAGTTTGAACGTGTTCCACATTGTAGAAATATATTGTTGGATGTAGGCGATAAGATGAGAGAGATTAGACTTAGGTGGGATGGCCATGTATGGTGTCGACCCAGTACAACACTTGTTAGGAGGTGCGAGTTAGTTCAAGTGGAAGGATTGAAAGGGCAAGGGGTAGGCCCAAAAGGAAGTAGTTGGAAGTAGTCCGAAAAGATAAGGGAACTTATGGCCTCATTGAGGGTATGGCCTTAAACAGAGCAGAATGGCGGATCAGGATTCATGTAGTTGACCTCAATTAATTGGGAAAAGGCTATGATGATGATGATGTGTATAACCTTAATTCCTTGTACTTGAAGGTAATATGCATATATTTTGACTCAAACAATTCAAACCAACTTGATTAATATACTTTCATAAAATCAAAACAAAACAAACTTAAATGGCATAACTCATTTTGGGAATGTGAAAATTCAAATGTGTGTTGGTGACAGATTGGCCTATCTCCTATCCTGCCCTGTCCGGTTCTCAATTTTTGACAATTGAACTCCACAACCTTATTGAAGGCATCAACCTTTGGGAAGATCCTTCGTCTGAGGTATAAATGTGCTAGAAGAAACCTACAATCACATTACTGATAGGAAGGTTCTATTGTTACCTTATCAACCGAAATGGAAGACAAGAAGTTAGTTTTCATCTTGCATTGGCCATTTTATGGGAAACAGAGGTTTTTCATTTCTCGTCCACTTCATTCTAGAGTTTTGAAGTCTGTGAATCTCTTCTTTTGTAAGTTAATGTTCTACTCTACCCTACCTTCGTTCTGCTGCCCCACCTCACCTAGGACAAGGCCAGCAATCTCCTATCAATGGTTTTGGTAAAAACTCATGGCTGGCAAAACTCCTCCACCAGAAGTCCAATGGAGGTCCTATTCAACTAGTTTTAGTGGTGTTTAGTGTCAGGCAAATTTTTTAATAATTTTGATACCCAGCTATCTAGATATCTGTTTGTTTTATCACCCTTTGACCTAAACTCAAGTAAAAGATAATTTCCTCATGGACTACAAGTTCCTTGGGATTAAGCAGTAGTTCTACTTGATATTTAAGACATCTTAACTAAAATATCAAAATACACTTTAGGCATGAACTGAAGCTATGCAAAACAAGTCTTAAGCCATTGCATTTATTTAATATTGATTTGGGGAAAATAATTCTGCATGAATATCTATCCACAAAAAGAGTTGCATGAATGAGAAGGGACCTGGTGTCCATGACAAACCGGCTGCTCCCATACTGTAAACTATGTGGAGTTTGACCCATCCTACAAAATAGGGACACAGATCTGCTGAATCATATGCAGGCAGAAGAATATAGATAATTAATCCACTGGGGATGTGTGAAGTATATGTGTTCCAACAGGAAGTGTGTGTAACACTGCCTAAATATCATTTCCAGTTTAGACTCGCGGCTCTGGGTAACATTGTTGGAATGCTTTTTTTGTGCTGCAATATGGGGGGCTTTTCTTATAGATTTAACTTTTTTTTTTTATTCATATGATGGAGTAAATTAATATGATTGAGTTGCTAGTGAATCAATTGTTATTACTAGCCATGGTTGGCTCCAGGCTCCTTGTGGGCTCATGGCGTACTTTCTTATCTACATGTTTCTTCTCTTTTCTTTGACATGCTTTTGTGTGTATATATAGGATCAAATTATGGCATTTGGTTTCCTCTGTTATTGTGAAAAAGTATGCTTGTAACTTCAAATATGTATCATTGAGTAGGTAATTGTCTAACTTATTGTCATTCAGTCTGTTGGATTTACAGGTGCTGCTGGTTTTGTCCTTGCATTTCTGTGGTTTATTTCTTTTGGTGTGGCACTGCTTTTACTTCGCTGCTGTAGATGGAGCAACTTTATCAGGAGCAAAGGCTCCCGCCGTTCATGTTGGATTTCCCTCACATTGCTTCTTATTTTCACGTGTGTCACAATGTACGCTAGTGAACCTTGATGGTGATTGTTTTGTAGAATCATTAAGCTTGGGAAGTTACGTTGATATAATATTTGTATTTGTTCAACTCAGTGACGTAGGCATTCTACATTTTGTATGCTCCTGGCATTCTTTCTTCTTGGTAGATCATAAGTTTATTTATAGCTAAAATAGTAAAAAGCTAGAGCAAGAAATGTTAGAAAAAACCAACCTTTAAATAGTAGTTGAGTCTTCCACAGAAAACTCGTTTTCAACTGCTTCTCTGGCAAGGTGGTCAGCTATCTCCTTGCTAGGATGCTCAGGGAATTTTTTCATTTGCTTGTGGAATTCCTTACAATTACTGTTGACTTGAGCCCTTCAGTTTGAACCTTATTTCAGTCGTATTTTGATTTTTTTTTTTCTTGCTGTATTTAAAAATCCTACTCTTGTAATTTTCAGGATATAATTGGATAGATAATTTATTGAGATTTCGTTGAAGTTTTGGGTCTTTTCTCAAACTCTTTCAAATTAGCAAATAGGAAATAATTTTTCAAAGTAAAAATAAAGAATCAAAAATTGAAAACTCCAAGAAATTGCTTGTATCACTTTGTTCATCTTCCATTATGAAACTGATTCATTTTTTGTTGTTGCTTTTTTCAGAGTTGGTTGCATTTTTCTATCTGTAGGACAGGATGATTTCCATGGCGAGATGATGGATACTTTGAATTTTGTTGTTAATCAATCAGATTTCACAGTTCAGAAGCTTAGAAATGTCACGGAGTTCTTGTCCCTTGCTAAGTCCATAAATGTAGATCAGGTGTTTCTTCCATCAAATGATAAAGATGAGATTGACAAGCTGAATGGGGAATTGGATAATGCTGCAAGTACGCTGACAGAGAAGACAAGTGAAAATTCTGAAAGAATGAAAAGAGTTCTCAATGCTGTGTAAGATTTTCTTTTCCAATGCCTAGTGCTCAATGGAGAGTATAATGTGGCTCAACTGACTGCATTCATTAAGTCATTTATACCCTATTGCTCTAACAGTCTAACGAACAAATCTGGCATTAGATTGAATCATCCTTTCTGATCATTTGTATTGACCAAGCTAACATTGTTGGTATTAATATTGCAGGCGATGGGCCTTGATCGTGGTTGCAACAGTGATGCTTCTTCTGTCTCTACTTGGTCTAAGTACGCGACTTTTTTGCATGCCTTTACTGCCATGAATTTATAACTTCATTTTCTCTTTAAATCCACCCTAATTTCTATATTTCTTTGCATGAAATGGGCATGAGTCTTGTGATCTTGATTAGTTATTTGTCTTCATTTTATCTTTGGATTCTTAATTCTTTTTTATTGCAGTACTTTCTATGCTCGGCTACCAGCATGCTATTTATACGTAAGTTTAATTTATATTCTCAAGTTTATACTATTCTAGGTAAATATAAGTTTTCAAGTCAAAGTTCCTTTTTGTTTTGAGTGCAGAATTACTTCCGTTTGCTTGTCTAATTTGCTCTTGTTTGACTTCAGATTTATATTGAGTGGATGGCTGCTTGTGGCATTGACTTTCATTCTCTGTGGAGTTTTTGTGATTCTTGATAAGTAAGGTCCCTTACTCTTATGAGACCTATTGTAAAACTTCTGATTGCTTCCTTGTTCTTTATAAATGGCGTTTTCTGTTAAGGACAGTTTACACCATGGCTCGTGCGGGATGTTTTTTGTTATTTTCTGATAAATACTGTTCTATATCAAATAGCAAGGTAAGATAGAATTCTCAATAATTAAAAAGAGAAAAAATACATTTAGGTATTTTCTGTTTCAGTCATGTTCTTGTAGGCATTTAAACAAAATTTGAAGCAAAATGAAATGTGAATTGTAAAATGATGATCTGATGTAAAACTGATATAGCTGCCTTTCATCATGTTCATATCACTCTACTCACAATCAGTTTTCCTTTTTCTTTTCTTTTTTTTTTTTTCTTTTTTTTTGTGTATTGGGACTCTAGTGGGTGATGGTTCGACTGAATTGTTGCTGAAATCTGAGGGTGGTGATGTGAAATTACTCTTGAAGAGACAACCTTCATTCACAAGCCTTTATTAGATGCTCTTCCAAAGTTACTCCTTACGATACTCTCTCTTACTGGTTATAGTTACCTACTCTAGAATTCATGCTTATGTTCTCCAAACCCTTGGACTGATAAAATACCAAATTTTAGAAGTTCTTCATTACAGAGACATTCCTATAAAAATTTTCACTCAATGTAATTTCAGAAGATCCTTAAACCCTAGGAGCAACTTGTAAACATGTGTTCTGAACATGCATGAAATGCTTGGTCATTAGCGCATGGAAAATTAGATGGATTGATGTTTTATTTGCCATAATTTTCTACTTGCTGAAGCCAATGTGCCATTGGCTTTTGAAACTCAGGTTTGCATCTTAGTATTTTATGCTTAATAGAATTGATTTCAAAACTTACAGAGAAGTAGCTTTATATTTTATGCTGAAATTAAGGCATATTTGTTTACTTTTCTGGTGTCATAGATGTTTCACCAATGGCTATGCTGGTCGTATCACATGAATCTAAAGGCTATGCTGGTCGTATCACTTTATTTCTTAGATTAATAGATATTGGATAGGTTGATGTCTTTAAATTTAATGCATAAATTCTTGAATGCATCCTTTTATATTTCACTTTGTATACTTGATCTCAAAGTCTCATGGTAGTTTTAAAAAACAAGGAGGGTGATAGTTAATGGGACCTCATGATTTGAGCGGAAAGATCTCAGTTAAAGTGTGTTGGTTTCAGTGCGATTACGGATACCTGTGTTGCCATGAAAGAGTGGGTTGACAACCCTCAGGCCGAGACTGCTCTCAGTGACATTCTCCCTTGTGTTGATGAGAAGACCACCAACCGCACATTGTACCAAAGCAAAGAGGTTATTTACCAGCTCGTTAAAGTTGTGAACACAGCGATATATACTTTCGCAAATAATAACCCCCCACCTAATCTCCCTCCTCCTTATTACTACAATCAGTCTGGCCCTCTCATGCCACCATTGTGTTCTCCTTTCGACTCTCAGCTGAATGATAAGGATTGTGCTCCTCAAGAGGTCTCTTTTGACAATGCGTCTCAGGTACAATTAGCCCTGCTTAGTGTGATGAGATATTTTTTCTTGCATTTGTTGTTTTTACTTCAAAAATGTTGATTGCTCTCTACTTTGATACTTTAATGAAGTGATTGCAGTAAGTTGATTAGTTATAAATAAGTGATAGCTGTATCCTTTTGCTTTTTCAATAAGGTTTCTTTATGGAGGCACATGTTTAACCCAATTATCAGCTAGTAACCTTGCTTTTGCATATTATTGTATGATTGCTGATTTCTCTATGTATACTTGTGTCTGTAATGTCCCCTAATTAAGTGGCCTTTAATACGGCCTTTAATACTAAACATGCATTGGGCAGTAAAGTAATTATTTTATGCATGGCATTTGACTATATTCATTCTAGGGCATTTCAGATATATTTTCCTTGTTACTGAATGTTTATATGTAAGCTAAGTTGGCTTATTTCATAGATTTAGTTTTGTGTTAGTATTCTTGCATTACTTAAAGTGGGTGAGATTCTCTCAAATATTCAGGAGTGGCTTGATACATCTCAAACTAATCCATCTCTTTCACAAGATCCTAACCATATTAACAAGAAAAACCTATTGGATCTCTCGTATCTCTTGTTATCAATGCATTGCTAAATTTTTATTCTCTCAAGGTATGGCAAAACTACAAGTGCATGGTCTCTTCATCTGGCCTATGCATCACAACTGGAAGGGTCACTGCAGATGCTTACGACCAATTGGTGCTGGCTGTGAATGTGAGTTACGCACTCTATCACTATTCGCCTTTCCTTCTTAGCTTGCAAGATTGTCACTTTGTAAGAGAAACATTCACAACTATAACCTCTGTATACTGCCCTAGCCTTGAGCATCACCTGAAGCTGGTGAATGCTGGGTTGGCTTTGATCTCTGTTGGCATCATGCTTTGCCTAGTGCTATGGATCTGTTATGCAAATCGCCCCCAAAGGGAGGAAGTGTTTGTTAAGCTAGCAGTAAGAAAGGCTTTTGAGGATAGCTCTATCCGTAATGGGGCCGAGCCATAGTGCAGTCTTTAGATTGCTCGTCATGAGTTTTGGCAAAGAAGAATATGCCCACACGGGGCTAAGCCCCGACTGGGTCATGTGAATAGTAATATGATGTATATTGATCAATATCTAGTGTTCTCTAGTTATATGATGAGAGTTTTTCTGGTGATAGATGGGCCTTCACGCTGTATCTTCAATTGAATATATGCAATACCAGTCTATGGTGATCATTTGCACTATCTCTCTCTCTCTCTCTCTCTCTCTCTCTCTCTGACACACATGCGGAGCATGCCTGCTTTTGGTTCTACGATCAATGTAACTGTTTATGTATACCTATACATAAGCTGACATAGATAGTGGCCTAGAAAATTTCAATATCCAGTTTATCCACTTACTATTATAAGAAACAACTACTTTGTCCCTTAACTAAGAAAGTAAGGGCTCCCATATTGTCTTCACTTGAGAATATAAGTAGCCATTTACTCTGTACTTGATTGACGATGCGGTGGAATTTGTGCCAGTCTTATTGATTTTTTGTACCTCTTAAAATTTCACCATTGTGGTTCTTTTTCTCTTTTCTTCCCTTCATTTGCTTTTTTGGTTTTTTTTTGTTCATTAATCCTAGCTACTCAGAACGTACAATGTACATTTTACGGTTGAAGAGTGTTGAGAGTTAATATAAATTTTGGTGCAATTATGACTAAAATATTTGGCATTGGAGATAATGACCATATGCAGTCTTATACTGATGGCTGCCAATGTAACAGTGCATATGCTTTGCTTTTCAACCGATACTTGGTCAAAGGGTACCACACGAAATGCTTTGCCACCTTCTAGGGAAGTAATGGGGATGTTCATCTAACCATATCTGCCTACCATTTTCACTTCTTTTAGTTATTGAAGAGGATAGTGTGAGAGGTACTGTTGTCAAATTCGCTTTGCTTTTGCCAAAGAGGTCGAAACTTTTGGATTTTAGGCTTAGAAGCAAAGCCCAATGCTGCTGCTTCGGTAAGATTTGGGTTGCTTCAGTCAGATTTGAATCTGCTTTGGGCAAATTGGGTAGAAGCTTTGTCTTTTCCAGCTCAAGCAAAGAAATATTTATATAAAAGTATAATTTTTTAATTTTTCATTACTATTATATATTGGTGTCATCGCTTCGTTTAGATTCGGGTTGCTTCAGGCTGCTTCGGATAAATTCAGGTTTGCTTTGGGCAGATTCAAGCTTCAACCTCTTTGGCCTACAAAAGGAAGTATCTATATAGAATTATTATTATTATTTTATTTTTTTTGAAATTTCTATTTTTCATTTTTCATTTTTTATATATATAAATATATAATTTATTTATATTAAATTAAAAAAAAAAATCTGAAGTCTTCCCTTGAATCGGTTGAAGCATCGAATTGTTTCAATTTTTTCAACAAACTGAAGAAGATCTTGAAGCAAATTTGACAACCAATGCTGTCACATTCGCTTTGCTTTGGCCGAAGAAGCTTGAAGCCTTTGGATTTTAGTTCTAAATCAAAGTAAAGCTTGGTTATGTTGTTTCGATCTGATTCGGGCAGCTTTGGTCAAATTCGGGTTTGTTTTGGGCAAATTCAGTCAAAGCTTTGGCTTTTTCGGCTCAAGCAAAGAAATATTTATATAAAAGTAATTTTTTATTTTATTTGAAATTTTTATTTTTAATTTTTTTTATTTTTATATATAAATATCTAATTTTTTGTATTAAATATTTTAAAAAATCCAAAGTCGATTGGCTGAATCATTGAATTGCTTCATTTTTCTCACCAACCCACCCCCACCCGCACCCTTAATCCGACAACATTGCTTTGTATATGTTCACGTTCTCCAACCATTGGCGTGGACATTTCATGGGCACTGGAAGAACCAACCTTCCATCACATATTAGATCTTGGATGGAACAGTTGGGGATGGAACTTCCAAGTAACCAAGCCCCGCAAAGGACCATCACTGCCCGAAAGTCATCTGTATGGAGTAGTTGAGACCGTGTCATGCACTAGTGATGCATGCCAATAATTTGGGGGCCTCCATTTTCAAACTCCGATGATCAATCTCATCGTGGCCATGCATCTGTGGATGCTATGGCTATGCTCTACATCATGCTTCCATGCGGACATCATCTTCCGAAGTCATCTGTTGGTTATGACGCATTCGGCCATTGTGCTCAATGTTGTATGTACAACGTCACCACTGGCACCGATCATCCGGATGAATCAAAGCCATGCCATGATTCATTTTGACATGAGTG